AATACGGAAAATTAAATATGCCTGCGCAATATACAGTATATCATCGGCGACCCCCACCCCTGCATGGGTTCTACTCTCTGTTCTACTTTCTATCACGTTAGTTTACACTGATGTCTACAACACTACCCTGTCATCGACACTACACAATAGCACGTCACGTTGCCACACTACCCTGTCGTCGACTACATACATTATAGCATGTGCCTTTACAACACTACCCTGTTCTCCACGACAAAATAGCCCTTGCCTTTACCGCACTATACTACTCATGTACTCATCTACCACGCTGTCTGTCACCCAGCATCCTGTCTCACGCACAACGGCTGTTAAACACACGTAGCAGACGCCACTGATGCAAAGCGGAAGGCTCTCTCTAGCCCGACCGCTCGCTAAACCGGTGATTGCATTTCACACACCGGCGACGCAGCAGCGCACCTCTCCCCGCTATTTACCAGCCGCAGCTCACTCCGCTGCCCGCGAACCACCGCCAGGACCACCGTCACGTCACCTTCAGCTTATAGGACACATGATAGTTTTTTGAAGACATTTTCTGAGAATAAAGTCCCGCACACAAGCCGCGGAATACGGTATACCGCGTTCGATACAGACATAGAATTTACAAGGCGTATGTGATTCGATTCATTGGTCAATAAGCATGTATATTCTTCCTTAGAGCAATACCGGTACAAAAGCTCGAGTGTATCTTTAATGGTGGCACGTACGGATCTGTACGTACACTGCAAGCGCCGACGCTGTATATATATATATATATATATGGCTGGTATAAACACAAACAGGGCAACATGGCGGGCTCATGAGCCGCCAGAGGTCATCCACCACGTTACAATGCCACCTAGCTGCGGGCAAAACAACAGCGGAGGTGTTCGTCTGCCTCTTCCCCTCGCCTCCGCCCAATACATCGGCACGTTTATTATGGTAATCAAATCACGCGACTGGGGCCTTCGAAAGGGCAGAACAGACGCGCCCGCACAGACGAGCACACACACGAGCACCCGTGCTAGTTTTGCAAACAATGGTGGCCCCCGTTTGTCCAACCATATTGACATATGTTTCTAGCTAGCACATACCTACCTCACAAGTGTACGCGCGTAATTTAGTAGGGTGATGGGTGACGCAGGGTTTCAGTTTGCGTCTTCGCAACACCGAGAGTGGGCGAAGAGGAATGAAGCCACAAATGCGATGTAACCACGCGCTGCCTCGTATATTCCGCATTGCGAACGTGAACGAGATAGTAGTATAGAGAGGAGACAGCCAACAGAGCTCGAGAGCATCATCTCGAGTGAGGCCCACACCAGTGAGCGCGCGTGCGCGACGTGGGTGCGTGTGTGCAACGTGTGTATGCGATGTGTGTGCGTCAACGCGCGTGTGCGGCGTGTGTGCGTGAGCGCGCGTGTGTGACGTGTGTCCGTAAGCGCGTGTGTGCGGCGTGGGTGCGTATGTGCGGCGTGTGCGTCAATCACGCAAAGCGCGCAGCGAAAACTTAAAATAAATGTATAAATTAGTTTTTGAACGTTAGAATTAACAAGTCTTAGCTCATACATTTTATTTTTTATTTCCCACTCTTCTTTTTTGGGGGGACTTTTTGGGTTTGCCCTTCCACTTTTTGGATTGGAGGGGCGGCCGCTCTTCTCCCCACTTCCGGCACCTCTGAGTAAGGTGTTCGAATAAAGAATATTATTACAGATGCGTATATAGTTAATAATTAATTCAATTCTGGATGAAAGTATTGCATGTGTGGTTTGGGGTATTCTGTAGCTTGTACCGTATGCACACAATGCGTTCGGATGAACGCGGGACCGGTCGGTATCGGTCGGGAGAGAGCTGTATTTTCCCTCTTACCTGTATCTACATGGAGCTCGGATGGGTAAAATGTGTTCCCCCCTCCCGAGTGTCATCACACATGCACGTTACCAGCACGTATCTTTGTAATGTTACATGAATTTTATTTTTGTATAAAATGTCATTTGCAAGTGATCACAAACCTAATCTTCATGTTATTTTTGCTTGATTGCTTAGCAGACGGTGTTCATGATATTCATTATAAGAATCAATACTAGAAATTTATTTAAATGATATCGTTGTTTTGTTAAAATATCTACATCAAAATACTGCTACCTTATTTAATCCAGCAGGACTGTTTCAAGTCGATAAAACATAACACCCCCTTAGATGCTTTTTTTGCGCGAGCAGGGGGGGGGGTCCGGACGTCCTGGACCTTAACCCCCCCCCCTCAATGTACACGCCCCTGCCCCTCGGGCGCTCCGCTCCCTCGAACTCATTGCCGC